CAGCCGTGTGTGAAGAAGTACTCTATTTTTTTAGATTTTTTGGTATATTTGCAGTATTTTTTAAGTATCCCTGACTATTGTGTTTTGGGTATTATAAGTGACATTTTTTATAATTTATGAATTGAAATTGATGATAATATTATCTGCTATTACTGCCGTGAACAAGAATATATAAAGTGATATTATAAGAAATTGCAGAATCATAATCGGAGGACACAAACCGCTAATATTATTGCTACTACTGTTAGCTCATATTTTGAAAGAAAATTTATGATTTCAGTTGAAAAGTATACTAAATTCATTCAGTATCAAAAATTTTTTAAAAAAATTCTACTTTTGTTAAATCAGAGAAAAAATGTTTTATCTCTTCTTCGAACAGATAAGTGATTGATTTTTGTGTTACAGATCACATGACAGGTAATTCTAAATTTTTTTAAAGTTTTCGACCACAAAAAAAATCTCTTTCTGTAACTATTGCTGATGGATCGACCTAACATTGTGGGTTTGGAGACCACAAAACCAATATCATCTATTACCGTATCATCTGTATTAAATTTACCTAAACTTAGCTTCAATCTGACTTCTATGAATAATCTTACTAAAGATTTGAATTATTGTTTTATATTTTTTCCTGATTACTATGTTTTTCAAGATCTTATGACAAAACAGATTATTGGTAAAATAAATATATCATATAGTCTCTACATTCTTGATACTTGAGTATCTCGATCGGTTATCTGCTCTAATGTTATCTCTCCATTTGAAGCACATTATCAATTGGGACATCCTTTTAAACCGCTGTTAAAGAAGCTATATCCTTAATTTTATTATGTATTTTCACTGGATTGCGAGTCATATCGGTTTACAAAATATCACCGTAGTCCGTCAGGTTCAAGGGTCAATAGATAAGCTGAGTCTACTTTTGAGTTAGTTCACTCTGATGGTCGGGGTTCATATTTTATTCTGTCTAAAACTGAGTTTAAGTATTTCGTTACTTTTGTGGATGATTTTTCTTGAATAACTTAAATATATTTTATGAATA